ACATTTCTTAGCCATCTATGCTTTTTGCTTTTTGCTTTGAGCTCCGGTCATAACTGAAAGTGGACTTATTTTGAGCTCATTTTCATGTCTCATTAAGGGCTCAACCCTGTTTGAGCCCTTCATCTTGCACTTGCTTCATTATCCCTCTAAAATGTCATTTTCTTGCATGATATTTTTAGCTTGTTTGTGATTTTTTTTGGAGCATGTTGTAAACTGATGATAGGCTTATCTTGAGCCCCTCTTCAACATTGAAGAAGGGCTCAACACTGTTTGGGACTTCCATGTTGTACTTGCCTTTATACTCCCTTTTTGGTCCCATTTTTGCATGCATTGGCAGCCTATTGTGCTTTTGTTTTTGGCCATTTTACAGTTCTGAAAATAGTCTTATTTTGGTCCATTCTTCATGTTTCATTTAGGGCCTTTCATAGTTTGGGACCTCCATATGCCACTTCATGTTATATCTCTCTTTTGGTCCCCATTCTTGCATGTTTTGTTAGCCTATCATGCTTTTGTTTTTGGCCATTTTACAGTTCTGGAAATAGTCTTATTTTGGCCCATTATTCATGTTTCATTAAGGGTCTTGGGCCGTTTGTGGAATATTTTGTATACTTTGTGTTATAGCCTCTTTTGAGCCTCATTTTGCATTGCATTTCTAGCATGTTTGTATACTGTTTTGGAGTTTTTACAGTTCTATAAATAGTCATAATTTTGGTCCCTCTTCAATGTTGTAGAAGGGAATTTTTCATTTTGGGCTTTGCATATACCACTTGCCTCTTTGGCCACCTTTTGGCCCTTTTTCTTGCATGGGAGTGCAGCCATACCTGTGTTTGTTTTTGGGGTTTTTACAGTTCTGAAAAACATCATATTTTGGGCCCCTCTTCAACTTTGTTGAAGGGCCCTAACCTTTTTGAGGATATCAGCTATGAGTTGCTTCTTAATCCCATGTTTAGGGCCATTTCTTGCATGCTAGTTTTGCCCTATCTTGGTTTGCTGTTTGGCCATGATTTGTACTAGTAAAATGGTAACTTTGGGGCTGCCTTGCTTCTGTATTTACATTTCATGTACCAATTTTGCATGTTTGGTATAGCTATAGGCCATTTCGGGTGCCAAAATTCGTGTTTCGGGACTATTCCGCGCATCGAGTGTGTTTTCGCCTCATTTCGGGGCCGTTTTCCCCCACATTTCATTGCTGAAAATCCATTAGCATGCTTGTATGCCATTTCCATGCCATTGCATTGCATATACCATTGCCTCGATTTGCGTGCCCGTGTGCACGCATTTCGAGGCACTTCATTTTCATTCACATGTGAGTGTGGCTGAGGCTCTCTCATGTTGGTATAAGCCCATATCATATTTTCATGTCATTTGCATTGCGTATGTCATTGCCTCGGTTGCGTGCCCGTGTGCATGCATTTCGAGGCACTTCCATTTCATTCACCGGCATCCTATGTGAGTGTGGCTGAGGCTCTCTCATGTTGGTATAAGCCCATATCATATTTTCATGTCATTTGCATTGCGTATGTCATTGTCTCGGTTTGCGTGCCCGTGTGCACGCATTTCGAGGCACTTCCATTTCATTCGCCGGCATCCTATGTGAGTGTGGCTGAGGCTCTCTCATGTTGGTATAAGCCCATATCATATTTTCATGTCATTTGCATTGCGTATGTCATTGCCTCGGTTTGCGTGCCCGCGTGCACGCATTTCGAGGCACTTCCATTTCATTCACCGGTATCCTATGTGAGTGTGGCTGAGGCTCTCATTTTCATAGCATTGTGTATGTTAGGATTGTATCTTAGTTGCATTCATGCATGTCATGCATATTGCATCGTGTTCGGGATAGGAGTTAGCCCGGACACGGGAAACGAGGTGCGTTTCGTACTCTGAGTGACGGAACGTGTCTCAATTCCCTAGTCACCGACACTCCGGATCATCCATGATGGAGTTAGGTTCTTGTTGTGTTTATACGTGCATTCATTTTATATTGAGTTGCACATTTCGATTCCTCGGCCATCATGCATCGATATGCGTGATTGGTGGCACGAGGATCGATGCATGCATATATCTGTGAAAATTCATTGCTATGCCCCTTTCCTGCTCTCTATTGCAGCAAAATGAAGAATCAGCAACTTTTCGGAGCTTGGCACGCTTTCCAAGAATAACTGCTAAACAGAGGCTAATTGGGGCATCCCGGTGGATTTCCGCGCAAAGCAGCCTAACATACATCATTCATCAGAAGCGAGGCAGTCCCTGGCTTGCACGCCAGTTTTACAGCTTTCTTAGTTAATTTGTTAATTAAGTAGGAATTTGTATATTTTTCGGACTGTAATATTTGGACTGTACTATTCTTTCATTTGGGACTGTATTATTTATTCGGACCCTCTGCGCGAGGGCATAACTGTAATAAGTGTGCGTGAGTGTGTTGTATGTAGATTAGGGCATATTTAAATTAGCATACAATATGACAGCATGTTTGCATCGTTCATCTGTATTGCATGCATCGGGCTCGGCGCATAATACTAACTGCATTGTATTTCAATTTCAAAGTTGAATACGTGTTAGCTGTAGCATTTCATATGCCATGTTTAGAATAGCCGAGCCTATTTTAGTTGCATTTTTGCATGTGTTGCATTAGGCATTTCTGTATAATTAGGATCATGCATGGATTTCTAATTAGCTTCCTTTTTTGGCTTGGAGTACCCGGTAAGCTTTATGCTTTAGCATCCTTGCATGCGTGTGAGTGAATGCCATGATAGCATGCTTACCATGAGGCAATATGCTTATGTGATATAACTGCCTGAATGCCTGTAGGTGAAGGTTGGGTTACTTAAATTGGAATAAATCATTAAAAGTTTCAAGCCTACCTGCGGGTAGCAAACCGTTTTCAAAAAGCAAACATGAAATGTTTTGTTCCAATTCAGGCGACTCAGTCTATACTTGTATGCTGTGCGCATCACATAGTAACCTAGGCTTCCATGTTATTTCATGTGGGAACTCATTTATGTATTGGATTATGTGATTAGATGGCTATATACATATATGTATATGTTTAAGTGAACTCAAAAATAATTAGAACTTTGGAGGGAGTGAATTGTGTATATAGATTTGAGAGCAATGAAGGCTTGATTGAACTTGTGATCCATATTTATGTGATGTTGAGCCATATTCTTGTGCTAAATTTACCTATTTTGAGCTTTCACCAAGATGAGTTTTGCTTGAATTTTGGACTGCAAAACAGGGCAAATCGCCGCACGTACGGGGGTCATGGCTGCACATGCGAGAGCACTGCCACACGTACGAAAGTCATGGCCGCATGTGCAGGAGTCATGGCCGCACGTGCCGAAAACAGAGCATTTTGGGTCTTTGGCTACTGGAAAAAAGGCACGTGCGGGGCTTCATAGCCACACGTGCGGGAGCCAATGCCACACGTGCGGGGCTCATAGCCGCACGTGCGGCCCATGCTGGGAAATTTTGTCTGCCCCGTTTTACGTGCTTGACCCTCTGATATTATTGAAATCTATATTTGATGCCTTTAAATGTTTGTAAATTCATTTGAAACGAAATGAATCAAAAATGATTTGATGCCTTTAAATGTTTGTAAATTCATTTGAAACGAAACAAATCAAAATTGATTTAAAAAGGGAAAGGAACTAATTTGTGAGTTGTGCATGTGCGTAGGTCGCAATTCGGGAAGAATTATTGCCCCACTACAGCACAGTGAGTACTAGTACTGCAGTTGTACATTTACTTACCATTAATAGTTATTAATAACACTCTGTTCTTTTCGAGTTAATTACGTTAGCACTTATAAATGATTGGAAAATCTACATACATTGGCACAACTCTGGAATTACTCTGCTTTGTTGATATCTGGGCCTAAGACCAATCTGTAAACTCTGTTAGGCCTAAGGCCAATCTGTAAATCTATTTGGCCCAAGGCCGTTCTGTGTGTTACTAGGCTTGAAGCCACTCTGTTTAAAGAGTAGGCCCAAGGTCGTTCTGGAAATGGTTACAGAATAAGATTGATCATATGTTCTCTACATTTATATACATTATGGATCAGGCTAAACATTACATTGTTTAAGTACTATTATTCACTGAGCTTCGCTCATTCTGTGTTATGTCTGTCTCTGTAGGTACTCAATCTGGAGATCAGTCCTAATCCAGCTTAGACCACTTGTCTTTTGGTCATTTCACCATTACCAAACATTTAGACGAAGCTCATTCATTTTTGTGGAATCCTTGTAGAGCTTTTAGCTTGGTGCACTAAATCTTTTGTCTGATGTTGTAAAACATGATTAACTTCTCTTAGCCTAGTTTTGTTACATCCTCAGACTTGGGGATGGGTCTATATATTTGTGTATACCTATATAACTACATGTGTGTTTATTATGCGTTAAATTACCTGATATTACGTGTATGATCTTGGCATGTTAGTAATAGCTCAATGGATGTTATTTTGTGTTGTTAAATGCTTCCGTTCAGGCCCCATATGTTATACATATTGAAATTGATGTCCGTTTCTGAAGTAATCATACCCAAACTTTTAGGGGCGGGTTTGGGGTGTGACAAGTGATATCAGAGCACGAGTTGCTATCTCACACACGAATCCATTGAGCCTTAGGATGTCTAGAAACGACTTAGGCATCATGCATAATATTTTGAATGTATATGGAAAGATTGATGGCAACGTTGATTGCATATGTAACATCTGCTAACTCTAATGATTATGGTCCATGTCCATTGTATATCTCTTGTGTATATTGTAAATGATTGTTTTATAGAATATAGTGAGGACAAGAACGAAAGACCCGGAAGATGCTACTTCTGCACGGTTGGACAGAATGGAAAGACTGATCTTGGAAATGGCGGAGGCCCTATGACAACAACAGCAACAGCCACAACCATAACCGCCACCTCCACCGCCACCGCCACCCCCGTCTATGGTACAAGATTTCCATGCTGAGGACCGAACTGTTACACTCACGAGGGAATTTAAGAAGATGAAGCCGCAATCGTTCAAAGGAGGAATAGAACCAATGAAGGCTGAAGCGTGGGTGATTAGGATAGAAAAGTTGTTTGAAGTTTTCCCTTGTACCAAAGCCCAAAAAGTACAACTTGCTACCTTCACTCTTGAAGACGAAGCGCGGAGGTGGTGGATGCTTACAAGAACTATGCATCAAGGCTTAACATGGGACAGATTCTTGGAACTATTTTATGACAAGTACTTTCCTCAAAGTATGCGAGACAAGAAGGTTACAGAATTTGAAACCCTCAAACAAAGGAATAAGACCGTTGCAGAGTATGAAGCTCAATTTGCAGAACTAGCCCGGTTTGCACCTCATATGGTAGATACGGATTATAAGAAGGCACGAAAATTTCAAGGGGGATTACGGAGTGCTTTCCTGGATCAAATCAACATGTTGAAGTTACCCACCTATGTTGATGTGTTGGAAAGAGCTATTATAGCAGAAGGAAATATTGCTGCTGAGAATCGGATCTCTGAGTGGAAAGGAAAAAGGTAGAACAGTCAATTGTCAAAAGGGACAGTCACTCCACCAACAAGAAGCAGAATTCAGGGACTTCTAGTACTTCCACCCTTACTCCAGACTTGACTCCTGTTTGTTCAGAATGTGGAAAGAAGCACTGTGGGACTTGTTATTGGTTGTCTGGAGCATGTTTTCGATGTGGCAAAACGGGTCATTTGGTAAGGGATTGCCCTCAAAGGAATCAACAGAATGGAAATAGGGCTGCTACAAGTTACACCAGCTCCCAACACCAAGTCAGCTGCTAAGCCTGTTAACAATAAAGACACCGTAAGACAAGGTAGGGTGTTTGCATTGGTTCCGGGAGATGTGCAAAATGCTGCAACAGTGGTGTCAGGTATATTTATTGTTCATGGTCATTCTGCTCATGTATTGTTTGATTCTGGCTCTACCCATTCCTTTGTGTCAAAACTATTTGCTCAAAATTTAGATAAATCTGAAGAAGTATTATCTTATACGCTATGAGTGTCTTCACCTTTGGGAGACTCTATGGTCTGTACTTCTGTATATTTTGCTTGTGAACTCCTAATTGGGACTATCCAGGTATATGCCAATTTATTGCCCCTTGACATGACTCGCTTCGATATTATTCTGGGTATGGATTGGCTTAGTGAATATTGTGCAACTATTGACTGTTTGACTAAGAAAATCAGTTTCCATCTTCTGGGACAATCAGAATTTACCTTTCAGGGACATGGATTGACTTCTCCACCTTATTTGATTTCTGCAATGAAGGCTTATAAATTAATTTAGAAAGGGTGTCAGGGTTATTTATGCAGTGTTTTGGAGGGACAAGCGATGAATGGGAATAGCGATATGATTCCAGTTGTTAGTGAATTTCCAGATGTTTTCTCGAAGGAGTTACCAGGGGAGTTGGTGGACCATGAAATCGAATTTACAATTGAAGTGATACCGGGAACCCAACTCATTTCTAAAACTTTGTATTGGATGTCACCAGTTGAAATGAAGGAATTAAAAACTCAGTTGCAAGATCTATTGGATAAGGGGTTCATTTGCTCGAGTGTCTCCCCATGGGGTGCACTAGTTCTGTTTGTGAAAAAGAAGGATGGAACACTCCGATTATGTATAGATTACAGGGAACTTAATAAAGTGACAATCAAGAATAAGTACCCATTACCCAAGATTGATGATTTGTTTGACCAGTTACAAGGGGCACAGGTCTTTTCAAAAATTGATTTATGGTGAAAATACCATCAACTGAAAGTCAAAGCCGATGATGTGGAGAAGACAGCTTTTCGAACCCGATATGGTCATTACGAATTTCTAGTTATGCCCTTTGGAGTTACTAACGCATCAGCAGCATTTATGGATCTGATGAATCGTATCTTCAAGCCTTATCTGGATGAGTTTGTAGTGGTATTTATCGATGACATCCTCATTTATTCGAAAAATGTAGAAGCTCATGAGAACCATCTTCGTTTAATTCTTCAAACACTTCGAGCAAGGAAACTGTATGCAAAGCTGAAGAAATATGAATTCTGGCTACATAAGGTGGCATTTTTGGGGCATGTAATAACAAAGGAAGGAGTCTCTGTTGATCCACACAAAATTGAAGTGATCGTGAATTGGCCAACTCCTGCCAATGTAACTGAAGTGCGTAGTTTTATGGGATTAGCCAGGTATTACAGGAGGTTTGTTCAAGATTTCTCCAAAATCGCAGTACCACTTACTTAACTTACTCAAAAGGGAGTTGCATTCAAATGGTCAGAACAGCGGGAATCTACTTTCCAGGAATTAAAATTGAAGTTAACAACAGCTCCAGTTCTTGTTGTACCATCTGGTACCAAAGGATTTGTGATCTACAGTGATGCTTCCCATAAAGGATTAGGTTGTGTGCTTATGCAAAATGGAAGGGTTATCGCTTATGCTTCATGTCAACTTAAACCCCATGAAAAGAGTTATCCCACACATGATCTTGAGCTAGCAGCATTAGTTTTTTCTCTGAAGATATGGTGGCACTATCTGTATGGGACTACCTGTGAAATTTATACTGATCATAAGAGCCTCAAGTACCTTTTTATGTAGAAGGAATTGAATGTGACAAGGACGATGGTTGGAATTTATTAAGGATTATGATTTGCAGATCCATTACCACCCTAGTAAAGCCAATACGGTTGCAGACGCACTTAGCCGGAAAAATATGGGAAATTTGGCGAATTTGCTTACTAAACAAAGAGAGTTATTGGTTGAATTGGATAAAATGAATGTAGACCTTATAATGCATGAATGGGAGGCCATAGTAGCAGTCGTGATGGCCCAACCGACATAAATTGAAGGAATCAAACTATGTCAAATGGAAGAGGAAACTTTGAGGAAAATAGGTGATGAGTTAGAGACAAAACCGAGACCGGGATTTAATTTGGTGAATTTAACACTCCAATTTCACGGCAGATTATGCGTTCCCAATGTGTCAGAAGTCAAGCAGAAATTGATGGAAGAAGCGCATGCCTCGAGATCTTCATTACATCTTGGGAGCACTAAGATGTATCCGGAGTTAAAACAAAAATTTTGGTGGCCAAATATAAAAAAGAACATCGCAGATTTCGTCTCCAAATGTTTACAATGTCAGCAAGTAAAGGCAGAGCATTAGAGACCAGCAGGGTTATTGCAATCCCTTCCAATCCCGGAATGAAAGTCACCAACATCCGTATATGTTCCTATCCTAAGGTAAAACAAGTTTGAGGGACCAAACTTATTTAAGGGGGGGAGAGTGTAATAACCCGACCCTCGTATATGTTTTCTGGTATACTTTCAGTCCCATATTCAGCGCATTTATATGCTTATTGTGAAATGAAGTTTAATTAAGTGAATTTTATGAATATAGACTCATATCTGTCTAATAGGAGAAGTATTTGTTGCAGTTATAATGTTTGGATCAGAAATTGAAAGCCATAGAAGCTTAATAATCTGAAATTGATTTTATATTTAAGATCAGCATGATTTTTAGGTCATAACATGATTTTCTGTGAAATTTTGATTTGGAACGATTAAACTGGTTGAATTTCGTCTTTATTCACCTTTTATATTTATATCTATGTTCTTCAAACATTTGGTTGAGAGCCATTACACAAATATCTCCTGAGAGAGAGAATTTGAAGAGGTAAATTAGAGAGGAAGAGGGGTGGTTCAACAAGTAGGAAGATTGGGGGATTTGAGAGGGTTTATGGAAATTTAAGCTCAAGGTATGTAAACTTCACCATAAATAAACTCTTTCTTAGATTTGAGTAAACATGCCCTTCCATTTGGGTGAGCTAGGGTTTAGGTTTGAAGTGTTGTATGTGATCATTGTTTAATTCGGAAGTTGTACTTACCATATAGTTGTCTTGGGAACTAATTTGAACTATATGAAGAATTGCATCTTGCTTCCATGTTATTTCATGTGGGAACTCATTTATGTATTGGATTATGTGATTAGATGGCTATATACATATATGTATATGTTTAAGTGAACTCAAAAATAATTAGAACTTTGGAGGGAGTGAATTGTGTATATAGATTTGAGAGCAATGAAGGCTTGATTGAACTTGTGATCCATATTTATGTGATGTTGAGCCATATTCTTGTGCTAAATTTACCTATGTTGAGCTTTCACCAAGATGAGTTTTGCTTGAATTTTGGACTGCAAAACAGGGCAAATCGCCGCACGTGCAGGGTCATGGCTGCACATGCGAGAGCACTGCCACACGTGCGAAAGTCATGGCCGCACGTGCCGAAAACAGAGCATTTTGGGTCTTTGGCTATTGGAAAAAAGGCACGTGCGGGGCTTCACAACCGCACGTGCAGGAGCCACTGTCGTACGTGCGGGGCTCACAACCGCACGTGCGGCCCATGTTGGGAAATTTTGTCTGCCCCGTTTTACGTGCTTAACCCTCTGATATTATTGAAATTTGTATTTGATGCCTTTAAATGTTTGTAAATTCATTCGAAACGAAACGAATCAAAAATGATTTGATGCCTTTAAATGTTTGTAAATTCATTTGAAATAAAACGAATCAAAATTAATTTAAAAAGGGAAAGGAACTAATTTGTGAGTTGTGCATGTGCGTAGATTGCAATGCGGGAGGAATTATCGCTCAACTACAGCACAGTGAGTATTAGTACTGCAGTTGTACATTTACTTTCCATTAATAGTTATTATTAACGTTCTATTCTTTGCGAGTTAATTACATTAGCGTTTATAAATGATTGGAAAATCTACGTACATTGGTACGACTCTGGAATTACTCTGCTTTGTTGATATCTATAAACTGTGTTACGCCTAAGGCTAATCTGTAAAATCTGTTTGGCCTAAGGCTGTTCTGTGTGTTACTAGGCTTGAAGCCACTCTGTTTAATGACTGGGCCCAAGGCCATTCTGGAAATGGTTACAGAATAAGATTGATCATATGTTCTCTACATTTATATACATTATGGATCAGGCTAATCATTACATTGTTTAAGTACTATTATTCGCTGAGCTTCGCTCATTCCGTGTTATGTCTGTCTCTGTAGGTACTCAATCCGAAGATCAGTCCTAATCCGGCTTAGACCACTTGTCTTTTGGTCATTTCACCACGACCAAACATTTAGACGAAGCTCATTCATTTTTGTGGAATCCTTGTAGAGCTTTTAGCTTGGTGCACTAAATCTTTTGTCTGATGTTGTAAAACAAGACTAACTTCTCTTAGCCTAGTTTTGTTACATCCTCAGACTTGGGGATGGGTCTGTATATTCGTGTATACATATATGACTACATGTGTGTTTATTATGCGTTAAATTACCTGATATTACGTGTATAATCCTGGCATGTTAGTAATAGCTCAATGGATGTTATGTTGTGTTGTTAAATGCTTCCGTTCAGGCCCCATATGTTATACATATTGAAATTGATGTCCGTTTCTGAAGTGATCATGCCCAAACTTTTAGGGGCAGGTTTGGGGTGTGACAGGGTTACCATGTCCTAATTTCGTCAGGAGCTAG